CTATTTAATTTCAACAATTTACGTTTATTACGTCTAGAGTTATGGCCCTTGTTTCACTTTGTTGAACCTTGTGAACGCTCTAACGCCAAAAGTTATCATCCGATCTTTCTGAAATTTATATGCATTATTTAGATTACTGAAACAAAGAAGCCTATTGAATTTCAACAATTTCTGTTTATTACGTCTAGAGTTATGGCCCTTGTTTCACTTTATTGAACCTTGTGATTGCTCAAACGCCAATAGTTATCATTCGATCTTTGTGAAATTTACATGCATTATTTAAACTGGTGAAACAAAGAAGCCTATTGAATTCAGCAATTTCTGTTTATTATGTGTAGAGTTATGGCCCTTGTTTCACTTTATTGAACCTTGTGAACGCTCCAACGTCAAGAGTTATCATCCGATCTTTCTGAAATTTATATGCATTATTAAGGTTAGTGAAACGAAGAAGCCTATTGAATTCCAGCAATTTCCGTTTATTACCTCTAGAGTTATGGTCCTTGTTTCACTTTATTGATCCTTGTGAACGCTACAACACCAAAAGTTATCATCCGATCTTTGTGAAATTTATATGAATTATTTAGATTAGTGAAACGGAGAAGCCTATTGAATTTCAGCAATTTCCGTTTATTACGTCTAGAGTTATGGCCCTTGTTTCACCTTATTGATCCTTGTGAACGCTCTAACGCAAAAAGTTATCACCCGATCTTTGTGAAATTTATATGCATGATTTAAATTAGTGAAACGAAAAAGCCTATTGAATTTCAGCAATTTACATTAAATACTTCTAGAGTTATTGCCCTTGTTTCACTTTGTTTAACCTTTATAATGCTCGATTGATGATAGTTATCATCCGATATGTATGAAATTTATATGCATCATTTAAATTTGTGAAACAGGTCTATTGAATATCAGCAATTTCCGTCAATAATTTCTAGAGTTATGGCGATTGTGAACGTTTGAATGACAAAAGTGATCATGTGATCTGTATGAAATTTATATGCATTATTTAAATTAGTAAAACGAAAAAGCCTGTCAAATTTCAACAATTTCTGTAGATTACTTCCAGAGTTGAGACCCTTTTTTCAGTTTGTAGAACCTTGTAAAGCCTCAAACGACAAAATTTATAATCTGATCTGTATGGAACTGTCTTGTAAAGGCCCCCAATTACGTACAAAGGAATAAATATGCGACAACCCTTGACGACCGCTCGGACGATTTAGCTGCTGTGGGCGTATGTTTTGTTGCCTGGCAACCTATCTTTCAAAATTTCCTCATTGTGACTCGGTATGCTTTGGGGGGTCACATTTCTTAATTTCCTATTTTCAAGTCGATTTTGGCTTGTATAGCGTGCTGTCGCCTCACATTTTGTCCTAACTTCTACTTTTCGACTTTCATGTTTTGAAGGGGCGAAAAGTAGAAATTATGAATGGTAGTTAGGCTTCCATACTGAGGGGAGGTTTTTAATTTTTATCTTTTTATTTTGTCAAAGGATCGCTACTTGTCTAAATGACTTCGTATAAACATAGCATTTCAACTCGATTCACTACATTTATCTCATCAGGTTGTTTAACGGGAATGTGAGATTATCCAGTATCATTTATTGGCGAATAACGAAAAACAACTAGGTCGTTTTTCGATATTCAGACTTGAATCTCCAAAAAGCAGATTTGATGAATGTATATTTACAGAATGTTTCCAAAACACATTTGATTAAATCAGAGTTGTGCACTTGATAAATGAGCTGATGCTACATTTCAGGATTCATTAAAATATTTTTTAGAGCTACTTTCTGTGCTGTAACAGGTAAAACGTTTATTTGTGGTAATTAACAAGACTTTTTTATTCTCAGTCGCCGGTGGTCCGGCCGGCGTCCACAACAGCTTGTGGATACTCTAGAGGCTAAAGCTAATATCTGATTGACTTTAAATTTATGTACAATGTTTAAAAAACCTATTAATTTGCAGAGTTATGGCCCTTGATCACTTTGAAAAATCTTGTGGACATTCTAGAGGCTAAAGTTAATATCCGATTGACTTGAAATTTATACACAGTGTTTAAGGTCATGAAATGAAGAAGCGATTTCCGATAATTAGTACCAGGGTTATGGCCCTTGAACACTTTGAAAAATCTTGTAGAAGCTCTTGAGTCTGAAGTTAATATATGATTGACTTTAAACTTATACACAGTGTTTAAGGTCATGAGACAAAGAATCATATTCATTTTCAACGATTTCTGATAATTACTGCCGAGTTAAGGTTCTTGATCACTTGGAAAAATCTCGTGGAGGCTCTAGAGGCTAAAACTCCATTTCATTCATTCATTCATTCACTCTAGAGGCGAAATTTAATATAAATTGTTTAAGGTCATAAGACAAATAATCGAAACAAAATTTCGATAATTAGTACCAGAGTTACGGCCCTTGAACACTTTGAAAAATCTTGTTGAAGCTCTTGAGTCTAAAGTTAACCCTTTCAATGCTAGACGTAAGTCCACTGCCTATGCTAGACGTAAATCCACTGCCTATGCTAGACCCTTTTTTGAGAAAAAAAGGGAGGTTGGAACTGAATGCCAAGCAGTACTTATGGAAGCTTTTATGAAAAATCTTTTTGTCTGTTGGGATGGGCATGAGGTTGGGCTAAGAGGAAAAAATAGAATTTTGGAAATTTGCATAATAATGTAGTCACGTGACGTCATGGAGGCCATTTTGGATTTCTCATTTCTCACTAAAGCTAACACGAAAACAAATTTTTCTCCATGAAATACTTAAAAGATATTGTTTTTTTCACTGGATTTTGATATAGATATATATAAAATGAACAAAAATATCAATAGCAGCCATGAGCAATGCCGCCACGAACACTCGCATCATGTCTCCCGCTGCCATGACCACGTGCGGATTGCAATACCTTGTTTTTACTTTCACTTTTACTTTCATCCCCAAGTTCCATATCATTATCAATATAGTTAGTCAATAGATCTACACGTTCGGGACTCGGGAATTGCCTACGTCTTTTACGATCCAGCAGGCCAGCATTATTATCAACATCAGAATTATTTTCAGAATCTACTGCAGACACAGGGCTATCGTGTTCACATTGGGCTTGTTCAGCACGCACGGGAGGCATAGCTAGCCATGGGCGGAACGTCGCGCCACAAATCACACACTTCATAATACCAATCACTGTCCTGACTACTATCATTATCAAGTAACTGGACACGAATTATGTGTATCACCCGCCTCGAAATTGTCCACGTGTTGGTCAGCAAGACGTCATTCACGACTTCGTCGAGAGTGCATCGTCTACGTTGTCACTATGCACTCCGCCATTTTACTGTTTGCCGTTTTGAAACACGTGGAAATATGTTCTAGTGTATAGAAAATACAATAGATGGCACTTGCAGTTACGGTACTAATTTTAGCGAGGGCTTTAATGAGTACACAGTAATACCGGGTACGCGCATTTTACTGACATTTTATAATACCCGGTACTACCGGGTATACGCAGTGAAAGGGTTAATATATGATTGACTTTAAACTTATACACAGTGTTTACGGTCATGAGACAAAGAATCCTATTCATTTTCAATGATTTCTGATAATTACTGCCAGAGTTAAGGCCCTTGATCACTTGGAAAAATCTTGTGGATGCTCTAGAGGCTAAAGTTAATATAAATTGTTTAAGGCCATGAGACAAACACTCGAAACAAAATCTAATGTTTTCTGATAATTACTTCATGGGTTATTACTCGTACTGACAAAAGAAAAAATATGCGACAACACTTGTTACTGTGTTTTGTTGCCTGGCAACCTATCTTTATTTTTTGAAATAAAAATGGATCATGCAGCCCCTTTTAAGTGACACAGGATTATCTGAGAACCACAATATTTTTTTTTTTTATATGGCCTAACTAGTCTTTAGAGACTCATTGATAGATACAATCACAACTTCCATTCATATTTGCCATTTTCCTTATATGGTAAAGAGTAAGTGTGAAAATGTTTTCTAGTTTATACTATTTAAAAACAAAAAACAATACCTATACATGGTAATTTACTATCATAAGCTACATACAGCACACATCACACAGTTTGTAAACTTATTTCTATGTTGGCATTTTGGAAGAATTCCCAAAACTCAGAAATAGTTATAGAAATTATTATATAGGTGGAAGCATTCATGATATTTGTATAGGAATAATCTATGGACCCCTCGGCAAAGCAGCAACATGTTGACAAACCTTCTATGACAAACAGAATTGTGTGAATGTCGAGTATAATTCAGATGTCATCTGCTTATTTGCTGAATTACTTTTCCCCCGAAACAACTTTTCATGGTGCACCAAGATTGATCATCAATCATCATTTCAATATGGTGTATGTTGTGGTCAACCCCATCTGTCTGTCTGTCCATCCATCTGTCATCCAGATTGTGTGAAAATATGCCACTGATGTTTAGTTGGTATAAAACCATACATCGCTTCCAACAGTGGGGTTGGGATGGCCTTGTGGTCTAGAGTGTCAAGCTTCGACCTCTAGCTGGCCGGTCACCTCTGGCTTGTGGTCATGTTTTTGATCCCTGGTGTGAGCGTATGGGGCTTGGAGATAGGGCCGCCTTCTCAACATCGTGGGTTTACTCTGGATACTCCAGTTTCCTCCCACAAGAAAGACGCCTGCACATGCGCTAAGATAATAAAAAGTGAAAACAAGACAACTTGTCTGCGATATCACTCTGGGTGGAAGTGGAGGTTGAACACCAGGAACAAAACACAAGCATCTGAACACAGATTTTCTATACTTCTCATACGCATACCGTACTTTTAAGATGTGATCGTGTAATAGGAAATCATTGGATACTAAATGTTTAGGAAGACATAGATTTTGAATGATTATAACGCGACAATATGTAATAAAAAGACAGAAAATTTAATTTAATCTTATTTATAACAACTTTATGCATTCTGTCATTCTTTGTTCATTGATGATTTTGGTATTTCAGCTAAAGAATTTATTCGAAAATTAATGTGTAAAGATCCTAACCTTAGAAATACTTGTAAGCAAGCCATAGCTCACCCGTGGTAAGAATAGCTTAATTTATTTATTTTACCACAAAAATCTTACAAAGGGATTTGAATGAATTAAGACAGATTGGGTTAATGAGAGGCGTATATCATAACATGTGAACAGGAAATTAGCTACAGGAAATCATCTGTTTATTCTCCTTGCATGCTAAGTTTCGGGTTTGGGTTTACCGGTATATTTAAAAGTAAATCCATATTTGTTGGATGTGCAGTTGACATTAAATTAGGTGTCTTGATTAAATACAGCACAATTTTCCTTTCTGCACCAACTGGGGTAATGAAGACAGCAATATGCCATGAGGTATGCTATCGGGGAAATTTTGCCGGAATAACTGTTTTCCCACCTGTTAAGTGTTCTTTCATGTACACAGCAGCGAGTACACACACTGTTGAATGTTGGTTTTCCAGTCCATCACTACTAGTACTAGACAATTGGGGCTATGCAACCAAAGAAAGCATCTGTGTCATTCTGACTGATAAAGAGTCTTTAATTTCATTAAGAAATACCAGTCATTCATTGATGGCATCTATGATATTTTTGGAAAGGAAAATAGTTATAGATGGTAGAGATATGAGAATGTAATGCACTTAAACATTCTGTACAGTAATATTCACAAGAAGATTGAAAGAGTGAAACTATTGATTTTTAAAGAAAAAAATTACTTTTAGATGACAGTTACTGACAAGTACACAACCAATACAGAAAGATATGTCCAGGCTATTTCTACAATTTGATGTAATCTATGTATATTTATCTGACAAAATATACTAAAAAATTAATGATTATGGAAAACTGTCAGTTCTTCAATAATTCATTTATCATGTACTGCAGTAAATATGACATAAGAAAAATGAATATTTTCATTTACCATAAATAACCACATAGACCTGTATAGATTAGCCATTATTTCTGTTCTATTTGAAGGATATCTGGTAATGCAGCTTTGGATAAGAACATCCATGCTTCCATCAGTGCACAGTTGAAGAAAAACTTTGCTAAAACTAAGTGGAAGGTTAGTATAAAGTGTATAATAATATGAAGTGTTTCCCCTTGCCAGTGGCGCAGATGGGACAAAAGACTGAGCATGGCCAGTTGGAAGACTATAGGTGTACAATATTTCCAATCTGTAATAATTATTTTACCTGCTTGTAAGTAAGCTGTTTATTGTTACGGTAGGTTCAATTATCAATAATATGATTATTTTCTATATTTCAGCAAGCATATAATGCTGCAGCTGTTATTAGACAAATGAAAAAATTAGCCTTTACGAAAGATGATGCGAATTAAAGATAAGAGCGAGATTATTAATACCATATTATATCATTTTAATAGAAGAGTGTCTCTGGGGATATGGTGTAAGTTTTTATTATGGAAGTTGTTAAGATGTATTGAACCAACTCAAATACACTATGTAATGTTGAATGTTATTTTTTGTATGTTAATGACAGTTTAGATTTAAAACTTATTGTCGACAAGACATCACATTACAGCACATTGAAATTTGTGTTGTAACACGTGTCAGTTGTAAACTTTATTGCTAATTTGATATTATTTTGTGTAATGTCATTTTCATGTTTTTTCATCCAATATAGTAAATACCATATTGTTATGAAATACATTTTTTATATATATATTAGATTGATACTGGTATTTAACATCAGTTTAGATATATTGGTATTTAGTATATTAAATAATCCTTAATTCATTGTTACATATTTTATAGGTTTAAAAAAAAAAAAGAACGGGTCAAATTATCCATGAAATATACCTATATTATATACAATATTTATCTTTTAATAATATTAACGTATACAGGTACGTCACAAATTACTTGTATATGGAAAGATGGTAATGGTCTGTACTTAAGAATTTTGTAGAGGTAGATAGCAAATATTGATGTATATATTATATATCTGTATGAATTGTATTTCATAAATTAATTAATAAGAAATATACAGAAACCAAATTTTCAACTTAATTTTAAGATATTATCATTAGTTTTGGTTGTGAAACATTAGTTCTGAGCTATATTTTAAAACTATAGTCAGAGTACAATTTTACTAAATATCTTGATTTATTGTATTTTTACCTCCTCAAGAAACTTTTATTAACATCTTTGGCTTTTATTATATCACTACAGCCATATAATTTTTATGGCTTCAAAACATGAAAATTATATATAATTTGGCTGGAATAGACATAATATCAACATATTCACTATAAGTAGATAATATCTTTCTCTGTTAATATGGTTACAAGGTATAAAATAACATCAAGTGCTTCATAGCTAATCTAGATTTATTTTGCCCATGGGTAAAATAGATTTAATCAGAAAGGTATTTATAATGTTGTTTTTATTAGAAGAATAGTTTATTGTCAATCACATTATAAAAAGTATATACATGTAGTCTATGCACTGTGTATTTTAGTCACTGCACATAACTTTTAAAAGTCATGTCTACAACGATCACAGTCTTATCAAAAACTGACATCAAATTACACTTTGTACCATGTATTCTTATTTAAAGCCACAATGTGCCAGAAGGCTATTAATACATTTCTTTCTTGAAAGTTTACAAAAATAAAATCTGAAAATTGTTTTTTAGTGTGTGAATGCATGTTGAAAAATGTATGTTAATCCATCACCACTTGGGTTCAGATTTGTTTTTCCCACAGTTCCTCATTTGAGATGAAATCTGGTCATCTTATACATGATGTTCATGGATAGAATTGAGTTTGTTCATACAGACAGTATAAGAGAGATGGCAGCATGAAATCAATAAAAAGTTGATAGTCATAATTTATGTTAGCATTGAGTGATTTTAATCATTTTTGAACCAATATGCTTTTTGATAAGACTATTTTTTATTTTGTATGATCCGAAAGTCTTTATTTGCCTTTGACTCTAGAATGTTTGGGCTGAAAGGTACATGTACACTATAAGCCCAATAATCAGATTAATTTTAAAGAAAAGACGTGTACATTGATTTTTTTTTTGTGGGGGGGGATGTACATGTAAAAATGTTTCTGATTTGTATGTGACTTGACAAATAGTTTTTTGATTTAAAATATGCCCCTTTTTTATTGAATAAACATTATCTTTTATTATTTATTATTGTTGATAGTATCACAACAGTAAACTTTGTTATTTGGGGAATTGTTTTGTAGTCCAGTATAGTGTGCTTGATATTTATTCAAAAGATCTATTCAAATTGATTTTATCAATAAAACCAAAAGTACACTTTTCCTTTTGTAGTCCAGTATAGTGTGCTTGATATTTATTCAAAAGATCTATTCAAATTGATTTTATCAATAAAACCAAAAGTACACTTGAGATAAGGAAAAGTCAGTTATTATTTGGACTATCATCTATCTTCAGACATTTTGGAAACACTGTTCTGTAAACATAGCTTCTATTTGTGTAGGAAAAAAACTCATATTTAAAAAAAAAACAACTCTGGTTTAATAAATGTCAATCACACTACTATTACACATTTATTGTTGGAAGAGTGATACTGTAATATGAAATATCTAAAAAAAAATTTCTCATTTTTACGCATAATCTATTTTTGTATTTATATAATTGCCTATTTTAAAAGGTTATTCCAATTTGTTGGATTATATATTGCATATGCTGGAAAAAAATAAAATCCTCTATTAATCATCATATTTCTGAATTAATAATGAAACTCTCCTTTCTAGTTATATTCTCTATTTAAATTGATACAACCGTCTTTCAGAATAATTATTTACAGTAATTAACTCTTGTCTGATTGACTGAACAAATTCAAATTTTAACCCAAAATGTACAGCTGATACTATTCAGGTTTAATCAAACCATCAAATTTACATGAAAAACTGAAATATGGTTAAACTACAAATGATTATATAAGAAGGTGTCTCAGTTCAGCATAACTGATGTATTGTGACTAACTTGAAAGTCACTGTTGTATTGTGACTAACTTGAAAGCAGAGTTTTGTATCATGTAGATGCTTGGAAGCAACAAGTAATCAATATATTAATATTATACTTTAGAAATGGGTTGAATGAAATTAATTTGAAGAAATTTTACAAATAGTCAATCAAGACTAAAACTACTGAAATTAAAAGGTCTATTAACTATCCCTTCATCAACAATAGGAGTTTACAGACTACACTTACATTTTAGCTCATGAATGAAATATTAACTGAATTTATAATATTTATGTATGTTAGTATTTAAATAGGAATATATATTACAGAAAATCAAACTATGACTGTAATAGTTAATTTGATAGTGTATATTTTTATATGCCTACATTTTCATGTGGACGTATATTGTTGTCACCCCTGTCCGTCTGTTCACATTTTGTTTGTGTACACACTACAGGTCAACAATTTTCCAATTTTGACGTAACTTGAAATATAGGTTGATATCCCAAAGATGTAGGTTCCTTTCAATATTGGCATGTATCGGACTGTAACTTCATGGATTATGACTCCTGATTGTACGAAAAACAAATTATCAGAGTTTGATGAAACTTTAACATATACATTTATAACCCAAAGATCTTGGTTCCTTTCGATTATTGCTGGTTTAAGACTTCTGATTGTATACAAAAAATCTTGGTTTTAGCTTGTGGACCTTCAAGTTCTAGAGGTCCCAATTTTTATCCAATTTTGATGAAACGTGAAGCATGTTTATATCACAAAGATGTCGGTTCCTTTCCATATTGGCGCATATTGGACTGTTACTTCCTAGATTATGGCCCCAGATATTATGAAAAATCACGTATTTAGCTTGTGGACACTCTAGAGGTCACAATTTTTATTTGATTTTAAAAAAAGTTCAAATATATCACCGGAACACCATAATTACGGCTCACATCAAAATTACTGAGACTCTCTGACAAAATGGCTACTCCCCTAACAAGCATGTAATACCAAGGTTGTAGACACTCTCAAAATTTTTATCCGATTTTGATGGAACTTAAAAGGTGTTTATATCCCAAAGATCTGGGACTGTAATATTCTTGATTATGGCTCCTGATTGTACAAAAAATTGCTTTTTTTTTTTTTTTTTTTTTTAGCTTGTACTGTTCAGCTCCTGCAAAATGGTGCTTCGTGGCAACCACTTGTTATTAATTCTATGATAATGAAGTATTTGATTAAGATTGCGACTGTGTTCAAGGATTTGTTAAAGTGAGAATATAGTTATCATTTAATCTTATTAACATATCATCCTCTATTTAATAGCTTGCTTGTTTATAAGACAAACATAAAAATTAAGTTCCTGATTTTGACATTTATCATTAAAATGAGAAATTTACCTGTCTTAAGAAACTACTAAATACATAAAAACTAGATGCTACGAAATTGAAAAACGATTAAAATCTGTCTGTCGGTTGGGAGATTGAAAAGATTCCTGGAATCTTGAAGTACGATTTGTCCCAATAATCACCAATCTAATTAAAATATAGATCTTTATTTCTTTTCGTTTTTTTATACTTTCGATGGCCTACACTACATGTCACGTGCGTGCTGTACCATAAAGTCTGTCATTGAGTCAACTGGCGTGGTTTTGATTCCCCGGTGTCCCACCTCGTGGGTTTTCTCCGGTTCCTCCCACTGCTAAAGACCCCTACGCGCAAGTGAATTATTGAAATAAAAATTAAACCATGTGTTAGTCCCGAAATGACCTAGTTTGTGTCAAGTGGACGTTAAACCCCATTTCTCTCTCTCCCTACACTACATGTAGATCTAACAAGTTATAGTGGGAGTTCACGTTCTATGACGTCAGGTATCAAGAAAGCGACATTTGACCTGATTACGTCAGTCATTCGATTAACCAATTAGCGACCGCCATGTATTTTTTATCTACTTTTGCTTTGTTTTGATTTCTATTGCCGCTAATGTCTACCCACAGTTCCGCGCAAAAAAAGTCAAACGCTCGATTCGATAGACCATTTGATTGGCTGACCCCTCATTTCAAGCAGAACACAAGTTAAATAACAACGCTTCCAGATCCAAGTGTAGTAAAGACAAGTAAAATCGAAATTTTAAACTATAAAAACGAAACAAAATTGGATCTGTGTTTTAATCAGATTGAATAATCACTAGTAAAATGATATTTTATACATACAATTAACGCACAAAGTTTATATTAGAGATTACCCCCATGAAGTAGTTAATATCTGATCTGACCATTTTTCTGAAACAACCATTAGAATGAGGTGTTATATTAATATGATATATAATCCCTATTTTTTTTTTATATATATATATATATTGGTATATATTAATATGTATTTTCTACATAACATTTATTATAATCTCTAAATCCAGTATATTCTTTTATGTAATTATTATTATCTAATGTTCGAAATCTACGCATTTATTTGTTGTTTATATTTGTGTTTAAAAAAAATTGGTGTATATTTTAAAATCATCTCTTATAGTTATAAATATTTTGTGTACTTAATTTACTGGCTCAACCAAATTGGATAGTATTGAATTTTATATCATAACATTCCAGTATTCTGTTTTAGATCATTTATTGAGGTAAAATATATTTAATTTTGAATTACAAAAGTTCTGTTTGGCCTTTATCAAAAGTTGTAGAAGTAATGCATTGATAAAAATAAACTTGTGGTGTTTCTCTCGTGCATAATTGTTTCACTGAATCTTAACGTAAATTCTCACCATCTTCCTGTTTCTAAATCAGCCTCATTTAAATTAAAGATCTGAATTCTGACATGATTGTTCAAAACACATTTATTGAATTTGATTTATAGACATCAAAATACAAACTTAAACTAAAAACAAATTGATTCCTTATAGGTGGAGAATATGGAAGTTGTTCAACTGATTAGTTCTTTGTTTACATGTTGGGTTTTATAGCTACCAGTAATATTGTAATATAATGATTTCTAATGTATTATTATCATTGTTTTCAAGTAGTAGTCAATAGGTAGTTATATATTTATCTAATAACACATAGCTAGGTTGAGGGTTAGATTTTTGAATATAATTTTGGGATACTGTATTAAGAAAAGGGAATAATTGATGTAACAACTTTGAACTATCTAAATAAAGAAATAGATAAATATATCCTGAATTTAGGTTTGTTATTTAAGATCATGTATTAAGTACAGAATATCTTCTAAAATATTGACAGCTTTTAGTAAGTAAAGTTTCTATTTGTAATGCATAATATATTTACTGGTGATTGCTAAAAAAAAATTGATTTACATTTGAATATCCAATTGAAGAAATTCATTTACATACATTGCTAATTGAAATTGAAACAATATTTTTCATCAATCCAATAATATGTCGGTCTACATGAGTCCCCTTCATTGTAATTCTAGTTTCTTTTATCTTCAGTATTATTATCATATAAATCATGAAATATATATGTACTTTTTTTTTTTAAAAATCCAATTGGTCCATTTCAGGTTTAATTGTCAGCTAGAAACAATTTGTTGTCCATCCAACAATGACCAAATTAAATCCATGACATTTTTGACAGACTTTTTATTATAAACAGTGTGCGTTATTGTCATTACAGAGTTATGCACTTTGAAATCTAATAGCACGCTTTTAACACAAGTTATGTATATCAGTTATCTGAAGAATGTCTCAACAAAGGGGATGTTTTTCGTGATAACTATTTTCACTAATAAACCTGTCTGAAAAAAATAATATGGTGTTCTGACGTCTTTAAAGTTGATTAATTATCAATGGTGTGATGGTTGTATGGTTGAAGTTTCCGGGGTAGAATTTCTGCTTGGTTCAAGAAGAACAATCTGGATTTGTACAGCCCAATTTTCATTTGTCAGGGTTGATACCTGTGGGGTTGATGAGGAAAATGCATCTTGTCATAAGGATAGGACATAAAACCGAGGTCCCATGTTCAAATTGGTAAAGCTCCCTTGGCAGCTGGAATACAAAGAAGAATAAGCAGAAATGTCACTATAAGGGAGATATTACCATTGAAATGAAATAGAATTATAACCAGGGGCTGCCAGGCAGGATATGCCCACGTTTTGTAAGAGATGGATAGAGAACAAGCTAAACAAAAAGCTATTTTTCGTAACATCAAGGGCCATAATTCAGGAAGGTACAATCAGATATGCGCGAATATCGACAGGAACCAAGATCATTGGGTTATAAACATGCATTTCAAGTTTCATTAAAATCGGAACAAAATTGTGAACTCTAGAGGGTCCACAACCTTGATAGATCAGATGTTTACACTATTTGCGTAGAGGGGCAGCCATTTGGTCTGGCACTTTTCGGCCAATTTTCACGAATTTCGAACTCAACCAACATTACGGTGTAAGGATGATATATTTGAATGTTTTTGTAAATCAGATAATAATTGTGACCTCTAAAGGACAAAAACTAAAAACACGATTTTTTGCACAATCAGGGGACATAGTTCAGGAAGTTACGATCTGATATGCGCAAATATCAACAGCAACCAAGATCTTTGGGTTATAAACATGCATTTCAAGTTCAACCATCATTATGGTGTAACGGGGATATATTCTAACAGGTTTTTTTTAAATCGGATAATAATTGTGACCTCTAGAGGGGCCACAAGCTAAAAACGCGATTTTTCGTACAGTCAAGGGCCATAATTCAGGAAGTTACGATCTGATATGCGTAAATATCGAAAGGAACCAAGATCTGTGGGTTATAAACATGTATTTTAAGTTTCATCAAAACCTTGATATACCATATTTTTACACTGTTTGCGTACGCGGGGCAACCATTTTATCCGGCAGTTCTGGTTCGATTTTCATGAAATTCAAACTCAACCGTCATTAAGGTGTAACAGAGATATATTCAAATGTTTTTTAATCGGAATAAAATTGTGACCTCCAGGGTCCACAAGCTAAAAAAAAATGTGATTTTTCGTACAATCGGGGGTCATAATTCAGGAAGTTGCGGTCCGATATGTGTGAATATCGAAAGGAAACAAGATCTTTGGGTTATAAACTTACATTTCAAATTTCAACAAAATCAGATAAAAATTGTGACCTCTATAGGGTCCACACGCTAAAAACGTGATTTTTCGTACAATCAGGGGCCATAATCCATGAAGTTACAGTCCGATACATGCCAATATCGACAGGAACCAAGATCTAAGGGAGTTAAACAGACAAGGGCGACGACAATATACGTCCACATGAAAATGACCAAAGTAAAGTGCAAATGAGACAAATACAATTCCATTTCTTTTCCAAGTGAGAATTTTATATAGTTATTTTGGCGTGAGTGATCCTGATTCTGTTGGATGGTAATCACTTTGGTAATTATCTATCTTTGTAGGAAGTGTTGCCAAATAGTCTTAAAAAATCAAAAGACATGTTGCCAGGCAGTGAAACACTAACCGCAATAGCCACATTGTTCACTCAATCTATTGAGGTTGTTATGGTGGGATTCATTCTGAAATCTTTTTGACATTTTTGATTTTTTCTTCAAACAGGCTTATGATTTTAGATTAAATTTAATTGTTTCGGTTGTGTTTATTTAGATTTAGATTTATTCACTTCATCCATATATAATAATAATAATACCTTACATTAACAACTTATGAGGTTAAGGTACAAAAAAAGCTTTCACAAGGGAGATAATATCCTGATGTATTTTGATTAAGGTGGAGGCAGACCACCATTAATTTCCCCATTGACTTCAATGTTAATTCTGGCCTCTTTTCCCACCTCCAACTTTTCCCAAAATTTTCGTTAGGCTAAACGCTTTTCACTACAGACAGAGGAACAAGTGGTCATGTCTTTGCGCTAAAATTTGTATGAGGTTGACCACCAAAATTTTGAGATACACAAACTTGAAGAAGCATACTAAAAACATGTAACTACATGTAGTTGCCGTACATATCACCGTAGCCAACCTGATAACCCTGTTATCCTTCCGCCTCAAAATCATGAATATTTACCAAAAAAATAAACAAAAATGGGCATGCAAAAAGGGAGAAAAGAGACAGAGAGAGAATTGCTATAAATTGACAAACTACAATTTTTGGGTACCGAGATGGTGAAATTTAATGGTGGTCTGCCTCCTATATATGTTTTTATAAGTTCATATATCATTAAAAAAATTTTCTTTATGGCTTCACATTTATTTTTGCAACATTATTATAATATAGAATCAAAAAAGGTCCATGGGCCTTTTGAACTAGAATTGAAGATTCTTTCTTAATTTTGTCAAAATGTGAGTTCTGCAAAACAATTTAAAGAGTTACAAACAAGTCACATCAAAAATATTCAAAATATTGAAATATTTTTCAAAAATTGACTTTCTTTTATCTTTTTCTACAAAATGGGCAATTTTTGACACTTTGTATGTCTCAAAATGCCAATATTTCCCTATTTCTTGGAAAGTCTGAGATGAAAGGCATTTATTTCTGGAAACCTTGGCCAGTATACAAGAAGACTAGCTGCAAATTGGTTTCATTGAAGGTAACTGTAAGGAACTATAGTGAAACTTGTAAGCCCACCCCCTCTAAAAATGTTGCTGTGGTAACAAATCCAACTTGTGTCCACATAAGTAATACTGTTAATGGAATATGGCTAATAGCCATGTTCTTCTATCCCTGGCTTATATACATGCATATAAACACAGGTAGTTGCAAGAAGTATGAATCATTTATTAAAATATGGATTGATAAATGTAAAACAAATGCTGTATTTAGGTGATAACCAGCCACTCGAATAAAACGGTCACAAAGCACCTGTTTTTGTTTTTAAAATGGGAATGTTTCAGTATGTAAAATACATTAACAATCAGAGGTATCCTTGAAATGACATAGTGTAAATATTTTGTGGAAGCAAGTTGTTTTAATCTTTACATCAATTTCCTGACAAAATTAAGTGGAAAAGGGAGTTGCCACCTTTTAAAAGATCACTACAAATAATGGATTTACATCCAAAATGTAAAACATTAAGCTGCAAAAGACACATCTACACTGTAATCTGTAATCAACGGTACAAAGTCAGAGGGGTCAAAACCAAAAGTACGACACAGATGTCAGTAGCGCGTGTGTCTCCATGGGCTCTTACGCACGCTGTGCAGCGACGTCGCATGGAATTTACCAATGTTTGAAAGAAGGCCTGGGGCAAATTGTTCCATTCTTGGACAAGAGCAGCTTCTAAAGCAGCAATGGTGTGCATCTGTGGTCTCCGATACAGACGGCGCCCAATCTCATCCCAGACATGTTCTATCGGTGACATGGCTGGCTAGTCCAAGACATTGATGTTGTTAGCAGCCAGGTATGCGGACGTGCATTATCCTGTTGGAAGTGCTGAAGTTGTGGGTGCGCTCGAAACATCGGAAAAACAATTGGTTGCAAGACATCATCACGGTAGGCTACAGCATTAACGCGACCCCTGCAAATGTGTAGGGCGGTCCGGTAATGAAATGTGAAGCCTGCAGCAGTCTGCAAGACGTTCCCCAAGACGTCTCCACACACGTTGACGGCCATCAGCGTGATAAAGATGAAAGCTACTCTCATCACTGAAGAGCACACTTTGCCAGTCTACTCTTCTCCATGCCTGGTGTCCTTGAGCCCATCAAACGCCGCTGACGGTGATGATCCCTGAGGATAGCTCCAACATAACGTCGTCGTACACGGAGTCCTACTTCTCTTAGACGACGTCTTACGGTGTTGGCACTTACTGGTCCTTGTCTTCCGACGACTGCTGCACCTGTTCGAGTCGCTGGGCTGAATCTGTCACGCAGATGAGTGACCCGGATGTAGCGGTCTTGAGCCTGGGTTGTAACGCGTTGTGGACCAGGACGTTGACGGTCACGTGTTGATCCAGTAACTCGAACACGTTCCATCAACCTTACTGGACTGATGACAATTGAAGTGTCTGGCAATAGCACGTGTAGACATGCCAGCCCTGGACATTCCCATGGCTTCATTCCGTTGATTTTCAGTAAGTCTCGGCATCTCTAGCTCGATTCCTTCACACGTCCAACAACAAATTACGACAGATTGACGTTTCACAGTTCATGTACTGCACATTAAGTTGAAAACATGCTTTTAAAGGGCTCACACAATGCTGCACGTGAATATTGGGTTTTTCATGTGCATCTCGTGCAATTTTTTTTTTGTGCACACGGGCCGATATTTTTTGCATTTGGGAGCATTGTGTGAAACAATAGTTCATAGTATTGCATAATATTATACATACAAAACCACCTAGTAATAAAATATTTGGGAAAAAAAGTGATGCGTTTTCCATGGCGCTCAGTATATTTAATTTTCCTTTTTTTCTTTTTTTTTTAATTTATTGTAAATGAAATTTTGTTTACTTTCACTTTATTTCATTATTAATTTGATAATTCTATTTAATTTATTTTGTTAAAAAAGGTTTTGAAATTAAAATGTTTAAGAATTTGAAAAAAAAACCAGCAGGATACGCCCACATTTTCGAGAGATGGATAGAAAACAAGCTAAAACGAAAGTGATTTTTCCTACAATCAAGGGCCATAATTCAGGAAATTACAATTCGATATGCGCAAATATCGAAAGGAACCAAGATCTTTGAGTTATAAACTTCATTTCAAGTTTCAACAAAATCGGATAAAAATTGTGACCTCTATAGGGTCCACAATTCAAACTCAGCCGTCCTTAGGGTGTAACGGTGATATAATAATACGGTTTTTTAAATCGGATAAAAATTATGACCTCTATAGGGTCCACAACAATCTGTTTTACAGAGAATTACGAGTCTATTGATATATCTCTGTCAAAGATGACTGCCTTAACACGTGCTGTCACAGCACGCGGCGTCAATCATTGGCTGAATGGCGCGTGCATTGTTTACATAAGACGTTACTGCCTCGGAGAGAATGCTGCATTTTAGTCATTTTAATACCCATTTACACTAAATAGGAAATAATTTTTACCTACAAATACGTCAAACGCCTTTATTTATTTTTCCAATACATAAAAAAAATGTTTTAGAATTTAATTTGTCGCAGGAAAAAAGTTAATATTTCTGGCTCATTAAGCCGCATCGATGTCATCCTTATCAGTGATTGTAGCGGCCTAGCAAATATTCACTGCGGATCAGTGTGGGTCCACAAGCCAAAAAACGCGTTTTTGCGTACAATCAGGGGCCATAATTCAGGAAGTTACGGTCCGATATGCGCGAATATCGAAAGGAACCGAGAACTTTGGGTTTTAAACTTAAATTTCAAGTTTCAACAAAATCGGATAAAAATTGTGACCTCTATAGGGTCCACAACCTTGATATACCATATTTTTACGCTATTTGAGAATGAACGGCGGCCATTTTGTCTGTCAGTTTTGGGCCGATTTTCACGAAATTCGAACTCAACCGGCCTTAGGGTTTAACGGTGATATAATAATACGTTTTTTTAAATCGGATAAAAATTATGACCTCTATAGGGTCCACAAGCCAAAGAACGTGTTTTTGCGTACAATCACCCAGTTAACATTGATGGTTAGATTTACGTAAAGTTTACGTCATTATGGTTAGATTTTGGTTAGCGTCCAATAATGGTAAAATTCTTTGGTTAAATTTACGTTACTTTTACGTCATAATGGTTATGGTTACTTTTACGTCAGAAAATGACGTAAATGTAACGTAAACTTTATGACGGATTACTAACCAATTTTTTTCCCTTTGAATACTTCTTGATTAAATAACATTACAAGTGTGTGCACATTCTAACAATTGATATATAGTCGGAATTCAGACATAATAATTATATATGTATTATTGGTTATAATTCTAACGTTAATCTAACGTAAATTTTACATCAGGTTTCTAACCGTTAGTTTATGGTTAGTTTTCTGACGTAAATCTAACGTTAGTTTTCTGACGTAAATCTAACGTTAGTTTTCTGACGTAAATCTAACGTTAGTTTTCTGACGTAAATCTAACGTTAGTTTTCTGACGTAAATCTAACGTTAGTTTTCTGACGTAAATCTAACGTTAGTTTTCTGACGTAAATCTAACGTTAGTTTTCTAACATAAATCTAACGTTAGTTTTCTAACATAAACCTGATATTAGTTGTAAAACGTAAAACAAATGTCAGTTTAATGTCATGATACTAACAATTAAGGGCCTGACAAGACAGCTGTCTAGTCATTAAAATGGGACAAAAATGGGTAAGACCCTGGCTCGCTAGCCTGGAGGTCGGGTGTTCGATCCCTGCATTGGCCGAGAAAGTTCATCCAGATTTCCGGCGTTTTTTCCCCTTGTCAGTGATGCAGGACGAAGAGCCTGACAAGGACAGCTGTCTAGTTGTTCAGATGGTATAAAAAAAAAAACGAGGTCCCGTGTACACATTGGCATGCATGTAAAAGATCCCTTGACAGTTGGAATTCGATATAAGAGTAGGCCGTAGTGCCACTGTCGGGGCAAAATTCCCCTCATAACACACTGTATGGTGTATGGCCATCTTCATTAGCCCAGTTCGGAGCAGAACAGTTGGACGTTAAACCCCATTTCATTTCATTACATTTTATATCCATTTCTAAGTGGGGGATCACGTGGGTAAGACGCTAGCTCGCTAGCCTGGAGGTCGGGTGTTCGATCCCTGCATTGGCCGAGAAAGTTCATCCAGATTTTCCAGCGTGGTTCTCCCTTGTCAGTGATGCAGGACAGAGGGGCTGACAAGGAAAGCTGTCTAGTCGTTCGGATGGGACAAAAAACCGAGGTCCCGTGTACACATTGGCGTGCACGTAAACGATCCCTTGGCAGTTGGAATTCGATATAAGAGTAGGCCTTAGTGCCGCTGTCCGGGCAAAATTTCCCTCATAGCACACTGTATGGCGTATGCCTGTCTTCATTAGCCCAGGTTAGGAGCAGAAAAGTAGGACGTTAAACTCCATTTCATTTCATTTCATTTCATTTCTAAGTGCCCAAGAATAGAGATCTAGCTCCTTTAATAGTTGCGAACTGTAGGTGACACACAAAGAGAAAACGAATGAATGAATGATCTACTCTCATTTCAAATTCCAAATGTCAAGGGTTCTTTTACGTGCACACCCACGTGATGGACTAGACACTGTTTTTTTGAGGTCCTCTGTCCTACACCACTACTAACAAAGGGAACTTTCTCGACCAACATGGGGATCACGTTGGCTAAGTGAGTAAGACGCTGACTCGCTAGCCTGGAGGTCGGGTGTTCGATCCCTGCATTGGCTGAGAAAGTTCATCCAGATTTTCCTGCGTGTTTTCCCCTTGTCAGTGATACAGGACGGAGGGCCGGACAAGAACAGCTGTCTAGTCAGGGATGAAAAACTGAGGTCACGTGTACACACAGGAGTGCACATGAAAGATCCCTTGGTAGTTGGAACTTGATATAAGAGTAGGCCATAGCGCCGCTGCCTGGGCAAAATTTCCTTCATAGCATACTGTATGGCGTATGCTCGTCTTCATTAGCTCAGTTTAGGAGCAGAACAGTAGGACATTAAACCCGATTTCATTTCATTTTTCTCGACAAACACGGAAATTGAACCCCTCATTTGCTAGCCAGTGTGTTACTAATTACTAAAGAGAGAGAGAGAAATGGGGTTTAACGTCTACTCGACACAAACTAGGTCATTTCGGGACTAACATATAGTTTAATTTTTATTTACATAATTCGCTTGCGCGTAGGGGTCTTTAGCAGTGGGAGAAAACCGGAGGTTGGACAAGCGACCCTACTCCTTGTCACGTACAACCGGGGATTCGAAACCACGACAG